TCACATGTGGGCCTACCAGCTTTCTCCTGCTTGATTTGAAGCCGCTAGAATTTATGAGTATATATACGTCAAACACGGTACCTCATAAGACGTATATACAGTGGACCCCCGGTTAACGATATTTTTTCACTCCAGAAGTATGTTCAGGTGCCAGTACTGACCGAATTTGTTCCCATAAGGAATATTGTGAAGTAGATTAGTCCATTTCAGACCCCCAAACATACACGTACAAACGCACTTACATAAATACACTTACATAATTGGTCACATTCGGAGGTGATCGTTATGCGGGGGTCCACTGTATACGGCCGCGACAGTCATGGTACTTCCCATTTCCAGGACTCAAGTCCGACTATATGAAAATAACCGGTTTCCCTGAATCCCTTCACTAAATATTACCCTGCTCACACTCCAACAGATCGTCAGGTCCCAAGTACCATTCGTCTCCATTCACTCCTATCTAACACGCTCACGCACGCTTGCTGGAAGTCCAAGCCCCTCGCCCACAAAACCTCCTTTACCCCCTCTCTCCAACCCTTTCGAGGATGACCCCTACCCCGCCTTCCTTCCCCTATAGATTTATATGCTTTCCATGTCATTCTACTTTGATCCACTCTCTCTAAATGACCAAACCACCTCAACAACCCCTCTTCTGCCCTCTGACTAATACTTTTATTAACTCCACACATTTTCCTAATTTCCACACTCTGAATTTTCTGCATTATATTTACACCAAACATTGCCCTTAGACAGGACATCTCCACTGCCTCCAACTGTCTCCTCGCTGCTGCATTTACCACCCAAGCTTCACACCCATATAAGAGTGTTGGTACTACTATACTTTCATACATTCCCTTCTTTGCCTCTATAGATAACGTTTTTTGACTTCACATATACCTCAATGCACCACTCGCCTTTTTCCCTCATCAATTCTATGATTAACCTCATCCTTCATAAATCCATCCGCCAACACGTCAACTCCCAAGTATCTGAAAACATTCACTTCTTCCATACTCCTCCTCCCCAATTTGATATCCAATTTTTCTTTATCTAAATCATTTGATACCCTCATCACCTTACTCTTTTCTATGTTCACTTTCAACTTTCTACCTTTACACACATTCCCAAACTCATCCACTAACCTTTGAAATTTTTCTTTAGAATCTTCCATAAGCACAGTATCATCAGCAAAAAGTAACTGTGTCAATTCCCATTTTGAATTTGATTCCCCATAATTTAATCCCACCCCTCTCCTGAATACCCTAGCATTTACTTCTTTTACAACCCCATCTATAAATATATTAAACAACCATGGTGACATTACACATCCCTGTCTAAGACCTACTTTTACTGGGAAGTAGTCTCCCTCTCTTCTACACACCCTAACCTGAGCCTCACTATCCTCATAACAACTCTTTACAGCATTTAGTAACTTACCACCTATTCCATATACTTGCAACATCTGCCACATTGCTCCTCTATCCACTCTATCATATGCCTTTTCTAAATCCATAAATGCAATAAAAACTTCCCTACCTTTATCTAAATACTGCTCACATATATGCTTCAATGTAAACACTTGATCTACACATCCCCTACCCACTCTGAAACCTCCTTGCTCATCCGCAATCCTACATTCTGTCTTGCCTCTAATTCTTTCAATTATAACCCTACCGTACACTTTTCCTGGTATACTCAGTAAACTTATTCCTCTATAATTTTTACAATCTCTTTTGTCCCCTTTCCCTTTATATAAAGGGACTATACATGCTCTATGTCAATCCCTAGGTACCTTCCCCTCTTTCATACATTTAAACAAAAGTACCAACCACTCCAACACTATATCCCCCCTGCTTTTAACATTTCTGTCATGATCCATCAGTTCCAGCTGCTTTACCCCCTTTCATTCTACGTAATGCCTCACGTACCTCCCCCACACTGACATTCTGCTCTTCTTCACTCCTAAAAGATGGTATACCTCCCTGACCAGTGCATGAAATTACCGCCTCCCTTTCTTCCTTAACATTTAAGAGTTCCTCAAAATATTCTCGCCATCTACCTAATACCTCCATCTTCCCATCTACTAACTCCCCTACTCTGTTTTTAAATGACAAATCCATACGTTCCCTAGGCTTTCTTAACTTGTTTAACTCACTCCAAAAATTTTTATTTTCATTAAAATTTCTTGACAGTGCCTCTCCCACTCTATCATCTGCTCTCCTTTTGCACTCTCTCACCACTCTCTTCACCTTTCTTTTACTCTCCATATACTCTGCTCTTCTTATAACAGTTCTGCTTTGTAAAAACCTCTCATAAGCTACCTTTTTCTCTTTTATCACACCCTTTACTTCATCATTCCACTAATCACTCCTCTTTCCTCCAGCCCCCACCCTCCTATAACCACAAACTTCTGCCCCACATTCTAATACTGCATTTTTAAAACTATTCCAACCCTCTTCAACCGCCCCACTACTCATCTTTGCACTAGCCCACCTTTCTGCCAATAGTCGCTTATATCTCACCCGAACTTCCTCCTCCCTTAGTTTATACACTTTCACCTCCCTCTTACTTGTTGTTGCCACCTTCCTCTTTTCCCATCTACCTCTTACTCTAACTGTAGCTACAACTAAATAATGATCCGATATATCAGTTGCCCCTCTATAAACATGTACATACATCCTGGAGCCTACCCATCAACCTTTTATCCACCAATACATAATCTAACAAACTACTTTCATTACGTGTTAGATCATACCTTGTATATTTATTTATCCTCTTTTTCATAAAATATGTATTACTTATTACCAAATCTCTTTCTACATATAGCTCAATTAAAGGGTCCCCATTTACATTTACCGCTGGCACCCCAAATTTACCTACTACTCCCTCCATAACATTTTTACCAACTTTAGCATTGAAATCCCCAACCACCATTACTCTCACACTTCATTCAAAACTCCCCACGCATTCACTCAACATTTCCCAAAATCTCTCTCCTCTACACTTCTCTCTCCTCCAGGTGCATACACGCTTACTATAACCCACTTTTCACATCCAATCTTTATTTTATTCCACATAATCCTTGAATTAATACATTGATATTCCCTCTTTTCCTGCCATAGCTTATCCTTCAACATTATTGCTACTCCTTCTTTAGCTCTAACTCTATTTGAAACCCCTGACCTAATCCCATTTATTCCTCTCCATTGAAACTCTCCAACCCCCTTCAGCTTTGTTTCACTTAAAGCCAGGACATCCAGCTTCTTCTCATTCATAACATCCACAATCATCTCTTTCTTATCATTTGCACAACATCCACGCACATTCAGACTTCCCACTTTGACAATTTTCTTCTTCTTATTCTTTTTAGTAATCTTTACAAGAAAAGGGGTTACTAGCCCATTGTTCCCTTTTATAACACGCATGGCTTACGGAGGAAAGATTCTTATTCCACTTCCCCATGGATATAAAAGGAAAAGTAACAAGACCAAGAACTATTAAGATAAAATCAAAGAAAACTCAGATGAGTGTGTATAAATAAACGTGTACATGCATGTGTAGTGTGACCTAAGTGTAAGTAGAAGTAGCAAGACATACCTGTAATCTTGCATATTTATGAGACAGACAAAAGACACCAGCAATCCTACCATCATGTAAAACAATTACAGGCTTTCGTTTTACACTCACTTGGCAGGACGGTAGTACCTCCCTGGGTGGTTGCTGTCTACCAACCTACTACCATATATATATACCATATATATATATATATATATATATATATATATATATATATTATATATATATATATATATATATATATATATATATATATATATAAATATATATCCTCCGTAATATATAGATATATCCTCCGTAAGCCATGCGTGTTGTAAGAGGCGACTAAAATGCCGGGAGCAAGGGGCTAGTAACCCCTTCTCCTGTATATATTACTAAATGTAAAAGGAGAAACTTTCGTTTTTCCTTTTGGGCCACTCCGCCTCGGTGGGATATGGCTGGTGTGTTGAAAGAAAGAAAGATATATATATTTTAGGTAGTAGGTTGGTAGACAGCAACTGCCCAGGGAGGTACTATCGTCCTGCCAAGTGAGTGTAAAACGAAAGCCTGTAATCATTTTACATGATGGTAGGAATGCTGGTGTCCTTTTTTCTGTCTCATAAACATGCAGGATTTCAGGTACATCTTGCTAGTTCTACTTACACTTAGGTCACACTACACATACATGTACAAGCATATATATACACACCCCTTTTAGTTTTCTTCTATTTTCTTTCTAGTTCTTGTTCTTGTTAATTTCCTCTTACCTCCATGGGGAAGTGGAACAGAATTCTACGTCTGTAAGCCATGCGTGTTGTAAGAGACAACTAAAATGCCGGGAGCAAGGGGCTAGTAACCCCTTCTGTATAAATTACTCAATTTGAAAAGAGAAACTTTTGTTTTTCTTTTTGGGCCACCCTGCCTTGGTGGGATACGGCCGGTTTGTTGAAAGAAAGAAAGATATATATAGTATATATATACATGTATATATATATATATATATATATATATATATATATATATATATATATATATATATATATATATATATATATATATATATATATATTTATTTATTTTATTTATTAATTTTAAAGGATGTTTCAGTCACTATTTATAAATTGGAAAGAGAGAAATAAACTTTTCAAATCAATGTGAACTCATTACAAGTGCCAAATACACTTCAGACAGATGTGCTCATGACATAAAACAGATGTGGAAAGCTTTTGCACCTCTTTCCACTTTGGCTGGTGACTGAAATATCATATAATATCTGATATTCTCTGGGTTTTATTTCACAAACTTCTGGCTCAGTAACAGCTTCAGCCTCACCCTGTACCCTGTAAGTACTTAACTACTTAACCTCAATTTGAAGTGCTTCCGAGCAGGCCAGTTTCTTCCCCCTGTTGGTATAGTTTAAATCAGAACTGAGTGTTGGGACTTACCTTGACCATCTTGGCAGGGGTGGGGTAGTCGCCCAGGTTAATTATGGTGGCATGGTGGGTGCCTGACTTGAGCCGCAGAAGGACACGAAAGTTTTCTTGAGAACTGATTACCTCTCTCTTGTAAGTGACCACCACAGGCCCATGGACTTCGTCCTCGCCGAAGAACGTCCAGTGTTCCTGTTGCAAAAGTAACACGTGAGTACTGTATTTTTACTTAATTATGCTGTTCCTAGTACAAGCAAAAACCATTGGCAAACACAATGACTTGAAAATTGATTGAAAACCCTGACAGAGACCACTGGTAGATACTGCAGGCAGAAACCATGGGTAGAAACCATTGGAAGAGACTATATGTACAAAATTAACAGAGACCATAAAGCAATGCTCATAAATACAGTCTTAGCATAATAAAAAGTTCAATAAAAGAACGGTGGCCTGGTGGCTAAAGCTCTCGTTTCACACGCTGAGGTCCTGGTTCGATTCACGGTGAGGGTTGAAACATTGTGCGTGTTTCCTTACACTGGTTGTCTATGTTCACCCATCAGTAAAAAAAAGGGTACCTGGGAGCTAGTCAACTGGTGTGGGCTGCATCCTGGGACAAAAACTGACCTAATTTGCCCAAAATGCTCTGCATAACAAAGGGCTTTCTATATAGTAGTATGTCATAGATGTCAGCTATGGTCTGTATACCTTGTATATGTACTTGTAGTAAATAAAGATATTATATTATTATTATTATTATTATTAATTACTGTCTGTCAGAGTCATCAGCATGGAAATGTTAACCACAGATTTGTGTCATTATCTGTGGACGATACCAAAGTAGAATGAAAGGTGTTTATGTGGAAGATCAGTATATATTACAAGAGAGATGTTAGAAAAGACTTCCACTTTGTTGACAACGAATAATTCGATAAGAACACGGAGTACAAAACACAACAGACCTTATATATACCAAAGCCTACAGAAACCTGGTTACATAACCACAGCAGACAACAGTAGACCAGCAGACCATATCAGATCACAGTAAAGACCACATTAGACTACAGTAGACTGTAGTAGACCACAGTAGATATAACAGTAACTACAGCAGACCATATTAGACCATAGCAGACCACAGTAGAGACAGCAGTAGACCACAGTAGAGATAACAGAAACCACAGCAGACCATATTAGACCATAGACGACAGTAGAGACAACAGTAAACCGCAGCAGTGAGAACAGCAGACCACAAAAGAGACCACAGAAGACAACAGTAGAGGCCACAGTAGACCACAGTAGAGATCACGGCAGACCACAGGAGATATTACAGAAGGCCACAGTAGAGATTACAGCAGACCAGAGATTCTAGTAGCGACCACAGTAACCACAATAGAGACCACAACAGAGACCGCAGGAGATATCGCAGTAGACCACAGTAAAGATCACAGTAGACAACAGTAGAGATCACAGTAGAATACAGTAGAGATCACTGTAGATCACTGGATATATCACAGAAGACCACAGTATAGATCATAACAGAGACCACAGGAGATGTTACAGTAGAGTTCACAGTATAAGAACACAGTAATGAGGAGGTGCCAGCGTATGTTCTCACGCCAGCTTTACAATGCCCTCAGGCACAGTTTAGCATTTCCTGTCACCATGCAAGACTTCCCACCCTCAACCTCCAGCATAAGGCTCACCTACCATTATACAGATGACCCATCATGATGTTTCGTTAACTTACAAAAAAGGTTCATTCACAAATTAATTAACTAAACTGAACTAAGTCAGTCATCAGACGGGAGCCCAATTTTCCCTCTCTAGCCTTTCCTCACTCCCACCTTTGTCTGTATATCAAGACAAAAACAGATGTGTCTCACTGGCTGATACGCAGGGTTGACCTAATGCTGGGAACATCCCGGAGGCCATCCCCATCTAGGCCATAGGAAGATAGGGAGGGACAGGTTAGATGTGCCAGTTAAACATTTTATTATTAAACAAAACAATGCAATATTGCTGTACACTAACAGCCTCTTTTAAGGCAAGCAAAACTGTAGACCTGGAGAATGTATAGAGAACATTCCCTACATGTATAAACTATGTTAACCACCTAAATTACTGAGAACATTTGAAGTTCCTCAACCTGTACTTCTTTGAACATAGACGTTCAAAGGTTAATCATGATTTACACCTGGAAAATTCTGTAGAGACTGATCCCAAATCTGCACACAATAATCACTCCCTACGAAAACAAGAGGCTTGTCAGACAATGTAAAATAGCTCCAAATGAAAAGCAGGATATATTGAGTACAGTAAGAGATAGCACAGCAAGTATAATGCTGTCTTCAAGAGGGAACCTGATAAGTTACTTAAGTCAGTTTCTGACCGTTGTGGTCTGTACATTAGACAGCATGTGGCCAGCAGCAACAGACTGGTTGATCAGCCCTTGATCCAGCAGGCCGTCTAGTCTGGGATCGGACCACCAGGGGTGCTGACCCCGGAAAACATCCTTCAAGTACCTCCGCCATATTCCATCATACAGGATGGCTTTTATACATCAGCTAAGGAAATCTGCCAGTGATGAGGATATCATCTAGCATTCCAATATGAATGTCAAAAATCAGTGGTAGTTGAAAGGCAGAGCCAGGAGCTATGAATCCCTGGCCTGGATGCCAGAAATCAGTAACAGTTGAAAGTAAAAGCCAGGAGCTATGAATCGACCTCTGCAAATACAACTACCTAAGTACACGGAAAAATCCTTACTGGAGGGTTAAATATTCTGAGAACAGAAAGGGAAAACAGGGGAAGAGTGGCAATAATGATCAAGAATCATATGAGTTTGGAAGATTTGATGAATCTAAAATTAAAGGAATTCAAAAACTACACAATAAGAACAGTTAAGAACGGGAGATCCCAAAAGCAACTGTAGCAGTCATATAGCATTCCCTTCCCCCATTCCCCTGTACCACCCACTTAATAACAGGAAGTTGAGGACAGAGTGCACAGGACTAAAGCAAAACTGTGCAAGAAAGGTATACAATACCGACAAGATGAAAGTTAAGACATGTGCAACATCTGGTTATCTTTATTGTAGATGTTTCGCCATCCAGTGGCTTTATCAATACAGATTCTAGGACATAACTAGAAGACAGTAGAAGTATATACAAAAGATGAGGTAATCAGTCCCTCAGCCTTGGAGTTGGTGTTGATAGCACCGTGGTAAAGCAAAACTGTTTATCATGAGACTAATTACAGGAAGGAATTAAAATACTGAAGTTTGCATACAACCCTTGCACACAAGGGTTGTATGCAAACGAGAAATGTTGGAAGTAAAGTTAATTTAGTCAGTAATGATAAACTTAACGTATCAATATATCGAAAAAGACAAATTAGAGGCGGTGATGAGGCTGTGAATGCAATGTTGATGAGTAAGATGTGTAACCCCCAAGGTATCTGTAATGAGAGATAGTTTTCCCAATCTAATATAGACACCTGAGAACTGAGTCTTTTATAAAGGAGCTAGTGGAAGGACTGGAGCGATGCAGCAGTTGTGTGATTATATACAAGTTGAGCCCACTAGTGGAAGTAGGTCGTCCCCATAAAGTCAGAGCTTCAGTGATAGATGACAACTTTTGTCGTCTCTCACTCATATCCGACTCATCTCAACAACACTGTTATGCGTGGGTGACTCACTCTTAATACTGAGATGTTTGGAAACAGAGCCTCAATATCCAACTAAATATCATGAAAGAATTCCCGGACTGATATCAAGAACTGCAAGAAGCCCCTATCATGTGCTTTTAACATCTTATGGAGAGGGAGCATGGACACAGGAGTCGTCCCACAGCTGCTAAAACAACAGACATAGCCCCACTCCACAAAGGAAGCAGTAAAGCAATACCAAAGAACTACAAACCGATAGCACTAACGTCCCATATCATAAAAAATCTTTGAAAGGGTTCTAAGAAGCAAGATCGCTACCCATCTAGATACCCATCAGTTACACAACCCAGGTCAACATGGGTTTAGAGCAGGTCGCTCCTGTCTGCCCCAACTACTGGACCACTATGACAAGGTCCTGGATGAAGTAGAAGACAAACAAAATGTAGATGTAGTATACAGTCTTTGCAAAAGCCTTTGACAAGTGTGACCACGGTGTAATAGTGCACAAAATGCGCGATAGAGAAATAACAGGAAAAGTTGGTAGATGGATCTATAATTTCCTAACAAATAGAACACAAAGAGTAGTAGTAAATAAAGTCTGAGGCGGCTTCTATAGTCCTTGTGGCTTGGCGCTTCTTTTTGATTATAATAATAATGAGGCGGCTACGATGAAGAGCTCTGCTCCACAAGGCACAGTACTTGCTCCCATCCTGTTCCTCATCCTCATATCTGACATAGACAGGGATGTAAGCCACAGCACTGTCTTTCTTTGCAGATGACACCCGAGTTTGCATGACAGTGTCCTCCATTGAAAACACTGCAAGACTCCAGGTGGACATCAACCAAATCTTTAAATGGGCCGCAGAAAACAATATGAACTTCAATGATGAGAAATTTCAATTACTTCGATATGGAAAACGTGAGGAAATTAAAACTACATCGGAGTATAAGACAAATTCCAACCACACAATAGAGCGAAAAACTAACGTAAAAAAACTGGGAGTGATCATGTCAGAGGATCTCACCTTCAAAGACCATAACATTGTTTCAATCGCATCTGCTAGAAAAATGATGGGATGGATAATGAGAACCTTCAAAACTAGGGAGGCCAAGCCCATGATGACACTCTTCAAATATTTTGAGGTAAATAATGAGTGTACTGTGTGTGTATTTTACTTTTTATTGTTTTTGATGCCTAGTTCTATTGTTAACTTAATATATATTATTGTAAACTTGTTATCTGGCATTTATATGCATTTATAAGTGGAAAAAAATGGCATTCTGCTTTCCGGCGATGTCTGCTTTGCGACAGTAGCCTGGAACCTAACTTGCCGTATAAGTGGGGCCCTACTGTACTTACCTTAAAATATTTTAGTCCTTAGCTTATAGTGAGTGGTTAATATATTGTAGGAAGTCTGAATAAATGAAGAATGGGTATAACTGAAAACCACTGTATTAGTGAAACTCCATAAAGTGAAGCACTTTAAAGCGGGGCCTTTATAAATGGAGTTTGGTTAAAGTCTGGAAGCGGTGAATGAATACTTTTTGAATCCGCTAAGCCATTAATACCTTCCTATATATGAACGATAATCAATTCCAATATAATTCATTCTCTGGAACTTTTCCTTGATAGCTCCAACAGAACACAGGCTTATATAACGCAAGACACAAAAGCCTCTTTGACATCACCTGTATCCAACTCAACCTATGCAAAAACGCAATGCACGTACAAGGTTCTACTAAGATTTGCCTGAAGTATCTAAAGACCCCCCTATCTGCCAATCATTTCAAAGCAATCATTAAACAATACCTCATCTTTATCTTACTTGAGACAGCTTTCATCCAATTCTCTCCCTATTCTTCTTACAGTCTTCCTTCAACTCTCATACATAATTGGTAACATATTTTGTCCCACTGTATTTCTATTGTAACTAAGTAACTTACTGTGTCTTCATCATCTTATTCAATCACTCCACAAAACTGAAGATCCTAGCAAAAGTTAGAAAAAAGAATAATTTCTTAACATGGATGTTTGGGTTAATAGGCTTTGTTAGCACCTTTGATAATGTACATACAGTAGGACCCCGGTATCCACAGGGGATACATTCCAAGACCTACTGTGGATACCTGAAACAGTGAATAATAACAAACCCTATATATAGGTCATCATCGTTTACATACATACCTATGATAAAGTTTAATTGATAAATTATGCAAAATAAGTCTAGAATTAGCACTTTATCACCAATGGAAAGCATTTCACAGCTTCTCATAGGCTTAGAAGACCTGCTTTGGGGCCAATATTAAGCAAAAATTATTTTTGGGCCATAGTAAACAGCGGATAACTGAAACCACGGATATGAGGCTTCTACTGCATTTTTCAATATGACACAAGATGCATATATAATATGGTCTTAGTTGAAGATTGAGACACTTATGCAGCATATGGGAATCTTTATTCAGGAAACGTTTCGCCACACAGTGGCTTCATCAGTCCAATACAAAGAGAAAGGCGTAAGGAGAGGAGGAGTATGAGGTAATCAGTCCCTCAGCCTGGAGTCGATGTGTTCAGTCCATCACATTCTACAAGTTTGATGGACTGAACACATCGACTCCAGGCTGAGGGACTGATTACCTCATACTCCTCCTCTCCTTACGCCTTTCTCTTTGTATTGGACTGATGAAGCCACTGTGTGGCGAAACGTTTCCTGAATAAAGATTCCCATATGCTGCATAAGTGTCTCAATCTTCAACTTGTCGGTTTTTCAAACCATTCACCACAATGGTCTTAGTTGCAACATAAGTGACACTGGTATTTGTTCCATAAAGAGTGATGAAGAAAGTATTAAAGTGATAAATGGACCACCTTAACAGGATTCATATCAAAAGCAACAATATGGATTCAGAAATGTAAAAAAAAATCCTGATAGGCTAGGTATGAAAGGTCTAGTGAGAAAGACAATGTACTTACGTTACCAAGGAAGTAGCGACGATAGTAGGTGGCTGTCTCATCCGTCTCGAACTTGTTCGAGTTGTTAGTGAGGTAGTGATGGTCAGCATCCATAGCATGTTCATCCCAGTAGGTGCCGCTAGATGGCAGCACCACCTGTACACACAAAAAAAACTCAAATTGGTCTCTTAAGCAGAATATAAGAGTTACATCTCTCTCTATAACTCTACCTGTGATTCACACTCAAACTTACAAGTGAGACTACTTATTGTATAATTACCTGCAGTATACCTTCAGAGGGATCGGGGGTCAACGCCCCCAAGGCCCGGTCCACGGCCCGGTCTGTGACCAGGCCTCATGGTGGATCAGGGCTTGATCAACCAAGCTGTTACTGTTGGCCACACACAACCCAACGTATGAACTACAGCCCGGTTGGTCAGGTACTGACTTTAGGTGCCTGTCCAGCACCTGCTTGAAGACAGCCAGGGGTCTACTGGTAATCGTAAGGTGGACTGTTGGTAATCATAAGGTGGAGTGCTCAACTGCTGGGAGGCAGTTGAAAAGTCTTGGGCTCCTGACGCTTATTGTGTTGTCTCTTATCATGCTAGTGATGCCCCTGCTTTTCATTGGAGGGATGCTGCATCATCTACCAAGTCTTTTGCAAGTTTGGTACTAATCCCTCTAGGATCTTCCAAGTGTATATAATCATGTATCTCTCCCGCCTGCGTTCTAGGGAGTACAGGTTGAGGAACTGCAAGTGTTCCCAGTAACTGAGGTGTTTTTAGCAGTTATGAGCACCGTGAAGGTTCTCTGTACATTTTCTAGGTCAGCAATTTCACCTGCCTTGAAAGGTGCTGTTAATGCGCAGCAATGTTCCAGCCTAGATAAAGAAAGCGAACTGAAGAGTGTCGTCATGGGCTTAGCATAGCTAGTTTTGAAGGTTCTCATTATTCATCCTGTCATTTTTCTAGCAGATGCGACTGACACAATGTTATGGTCCTTGAAAGTGAGATCCTCTGACATTATCACTCCCAGGTCTTTTGCGTTAGTTTTTCACTCTATTGTGTGGTTGGAATTTGTTTTATACTCTAATAAAGTTTTAATTTCCTCATGTTTTCCATATCGGAGAAATTGAAATTTTTCATCACTGAACTTCATATTGTTTTCTGAGACCCATTTAAAGATTTGGTTGATGTCCGCCTGGAGTCTTGCAGTGTCTTCAATGGAGGACACTGTTATGCAAATTCGGGTGTCATCAGTGCTGTGGCTTACATCCCTGTCTATGTCAGATATGAGGGTGAGGAACAGGATGGGAGCGAGTACTGTACCTTGTGGAACAGAGCTTTTCACAGTAGCTGCTTCACACTTTACTCTCTTTACTACTACATTTTGTGCTCTGTTAGGAAATTATAAATCTATCTACCAACTTTTCCTGTTATTACTTTATCACACATTTTGTGAGCTATTACACCATGGTCAAACTTGTCAAAGGCTTTTGCAAAGTCTGTGTATACAACATCTGCATTTTGTTTGTCCAGGACCTTGTCATAGTGGTCCAGTAGTTGGGACAGGCAGGAGATACCTGCTCTTAACCCATGTTGCCCTGGGTTGTTTAACTGATGGGTATCTAGATGAGTGACGATCTTGCTTCTCAGAACCCTTTCCAAGATTTTTATGATATGGGATGTTAGTGTTATTGGTCTGTAGTTCTTTGCTATTGCTTTACTGTTCCATGTGGAAATAAATCTTTGACTGACTCCTCTATCACTTCCGCATATCACTCTTTACCTCCACCATGCCTGCCACCTATCCCTCTCTAGCCATGTTCAGTGCTCTTATTTCCTTACTGCAGCTTTCCCTCCCTGCCTCTCTCCTTGGTCTGTATTAAGCACGTCTGGGGTACCCAACCACACAACTTCCTGCTTCCCTCTTCCTCTTACATCCTATTCTCACGCTCTCCTTCTGACCTAACTCCCACCTTTATCACGTACGTGTACTCACCAGCTGAGGTTGCAGGGGTCGAGTCTGAGCTCCTGGCCCCGCACACACACACACACACACACACACACAAAACCACACGTGTGTGTGTGTGTGTATGGATGGTATATAAATATATATATTATTATATATATATTTATATATATATATATATATATATTATATGTATTATATATATATAATATATATATATAATATATATATATATTATATAAAATATATATATTATATATTACTGAAGGAAATTATTTACAGATTTAATTTCTGTTTTGTCTTTCGCAGACCATTCCCTCCCCTCTCTTCTCTTCTCTCTCTCTCTCTCTCTCCCCTCTCTCTCTCACGGCTCACTCAGGACTTCCTATATTCCCTCAAGATAAAAACAATCAACAAGTGACTTTCTCTCAATGGCAGGGAAATCATCGGTAATATTTTATTGAGACTCGTATAGTGTGCACACAAGTGCACACTAGTCTCACAAACTATTACTATTTACCATTAATGCTACTACTCTTACTACATAATTTACTACTACAGCTGCTAATAATAATAATAATTATTATTATTATAATAAATTACTTCTACCAATACTTTTAATAAGTTACTTTATTACCAATAAAAGTAATTATAATAGAGGTAAGCACATAAGAGTAGCATCCAACTGTAGCACCCGAGGGTAGCTTGAAATAGGTCACCTGATGGTAGCACCTGGGGTAACTCACCTGGGGTAGTTCACCTGAGAGTAACTCACTAGAGGGTAGCTCACTTGAGGGTAGTTCACCTGAGGGTAACTCACCTAAGGGTAGCTCACCTGAGGGTAGTTCATCTGAGGTTAACTCACCTGAGGGTAACTCAACTGAGGGTGACTCAACTGAGGGTAACTCAACTGAGGGTAACTCAACTGAGGGTAACTCAACTGAGGGTAATTCACCTGAAGGTAACTCACCTGAGGATAGGGTCCCGGCTGAGCGAGGACCTCCTCCAAGCGTATCCTGGATGAGGTTCTGGATGGAGCTTCATCCTTGTCAGGCGGAGGCTTTCCTGGCCCCTCACGCATGCCCTGCTGCTGCAACACACACACAGACAAGAGTTAACTTTAACATAACCACAACCAACATAATTATTGTTAGTTTGGTGGGACGAGCATTACCACTGGTGAGTGGAGAGTAAGTGTGGCAGTGAAAATGACTGAGAATGGGTGAGAGTGAGAGAGAGAGGCTCTCACCCTACAAGTGAAGATGATTGATATCTCATCTCAAAGGCAGCAGACTCTCTGATGCTTGAGAGGAAACTCTGGCCGGAGAAGATGGAGTACAAAGTGTTTACATCATGTAAAGTCCAGCCTTTTACAGTAGTCAGACCATTACGATATGGCCTTGGATGCGCTGAAGACAAGCTAAATGTTATGTACACTGATTTTGCAAAAGCCATCGGCAAGAGTGATCATGGTGCGATAGCGCACAAAATGCGTACAAAAATTAAAAAGAATCTAGAGGTTGCCACAGTGAAAAGCTCTGTCTCTCAAGACACAGTACTCACCCCACTTCTGTTTCTCATTCTTATACCCGACACAAAGACAAAACTGATAGTCCTGTAACATCCTATGCTGATTAAACCAGAATCTCAATAAAAGTGGCATTCATAAAGACAGTGAATTTTCATGAGGGTTATATTAAGTTTTCCAGTGGGCAGCAGACATCATGTTCAATGAGGACAAGTCTCAGTTACTCCGCTCTAGAAGAATGAAGGAAATAGACAAAATAAGTACAGAACAAAGTGAAATCATTCAACATCATTACCTAGAAGTAATGATGTCAAGACAAGATATGCTGAGCCAATGATGATACTCTTCAAGTCACTTGTTCTCTCCAGGCTGGAATACTTCTGTATACTAATAGCTTCCTTCAAGGCAAATGAGACTGACAAGTTAGAAAACGTACAGAGGACACTCAGTGCCAGTATACACTCAAACATCTACTGGGAACACCTGAAATTCCCTCAACTGTATTCCTTGGAACAGGCAAGAAGGTATATCATGATTTACACCTGAAAAATCTTGCAGGAACTGGTCCAAAACCTGCACACTAGGATCACTCTTTGTGAAAGTGAGACTTGGTAGACGGCGTAAAGTACCATCAATAAAAAGGAGGGGAGTAACGAGTACACTAAGAGAGAAATCGTCGAGTGTCAGAGGTCCCAGTCTCAACACCCTCCGTGCGCAAGGGAAATTACCAACAAACCTATGGCTGTCTTCAAGAGGGAACTAGACAAGTTCCTCAAATTAGTGCCTGGCCAGCAGAGGTATGGTTCGTAAGCTGCACGGCGTACGGTCAGTAATAACATCTTGGTTGATCAGGTCTTCATCCACCAGGAGGCCTGATGGTAGCGGGACCAGACCGCGGGAAGCAATGATCACCAGAAGCATCGCTCATGTATTCATGAAGATGTTTGGGGTAGAGTCAAGAATGTGAGTGTGTGCAACAGAGGTTTGTATAGTACAGGAGGATGGGTGTGACAAGAGGAAACAATTAGTGGAACCAGGAAAAAGAAAATAAAAAGTTAGCATACGAGAGGTTTTTGCAGTATAGAAATGGTATAGGGAGAGCGGAGTATATGGAGAGTAAAAGAGAGGTTGGCCGTGTGCTGAGGAAGTTCAAAACATGAGCCAGTGAGAGAGATTTTATAAACAAATTTTACTAAGAATAAGAAACTTGGAATGAGATCAGTAGGCTGTACAAGCCTAGGGAATGTTTGTATGTGTGTGTGGGGGGGGGGGGAATACTGGTGTACACTAACGGCCACTTTCAAGGCAGGCGAAACTGCAGATCTGGAGAATATACGGAAAACTTTCATTGCACGTATAAGAATAATCAAACACCTCAATTACTGGGATCACTTGAAGCACCTTGACGTGTACTCCTTGGAATGCAAGCGAGAAAGATGCATCATAATTTTCACCTGGAAAATCCTAGAGGGACTAGTCCCAAATCTGTACACGGAAATCACTCTTTACGAAAGCAAAAGACTGGGCAAGCGGTGCAACATCCCCCCTAATGAAAAGCAAGGGCACCGTGAGTACACTAACAGATAACAGAATTGAGTGTGACTGGTAGTAAGAGCTTGGTTGATCAGGCCCTGACCCACTGTGATGCCTAGCCATGGACTGGGCAGCGGAGGAGTTGACCCCTGGAATACCCCCCAGATAGATATACACATGTCGTGCCGAATAGGTAAAACTTGCGATTTTGGCTTAAATAGCAACGCTCTTCTTGTCGAATAAGGCAAGCGAAAATTTGTGTATGCAATAATTTCGCAAAAATCATTCTGAACTAACAAAAAATATATTTCATTGTTTATTATTATTAAATTATTGTAAACTTATCTAAAATATATTGGATTAGGCTAAATTAGATTGCGCTTATAATAAGGTTATGTAAGTTTTCTAAGGTGCTTTTAGTACAAAATTATTAATTTTTACATTAGCGTAAATAAAAAAAGAGTATATCTTTAAACGTATAAGAGAAAATTTTAGAAAGGACTTAATTTTAAACGAGTTCTTGCTAACTGATTAATTTTTCGTATTCGGCAACACACACACCACACACACACACACACACTATATATATATATATATATATATATATATATATATAAAATATATTTTATATATGTCGTGCCGAATAGTAAAACTGGTCATTTACAAGAACTCATTTAAAAATTAAGTCCTTTCTAAAATTTTCTCTCTATAACGTTTAAAGATATATTTCTTTCATTAATGTTATGTAAAAATTATAATTTTGTCACCAAAAGGAATTAAGAGAATTTCCTAACCTTATTATAACAAGAACAATTAGTTTAGACTAACCCAACTATATATAATTTTAGATTTTTTACAGTAATTTAATATTAACAACACAGTGAAAATATATTTTTTTCGTTAGTTCAGAATAATTCTGGCGAAATTATGCATACACAAATTTTCGCTTGTCCTATATGGCAAGATGAGCGTTGCTATTTAAGCCAAGATCGCAAGTTCTGTCTATTCGGCACGACATATATATTATATATATATATATATATATATATATATATATATATATATATATATATATATATGTCGTGCCGAATAGGCAGAACTTGCGATCTTGGCTTAAATAGCAACGCTCATCTTGCCATATAGGACAAGTGAAAATTTGTGTATGCAATAATTTCTCCAAAATCATTCTGAACCTAACGAAAAAAATATATTTCACTGTGTTTATTTAGTATTAAATTTTTGTAAACAAATCTAAAATATATTTAATTGGGTTAGGCTAAAATAAATTGTTCTTGTTATAATAAGGTTAGGTAAGTTTTCTAAGATTCTTTTGGAGCAAAATTAAAAAATTTTACATTAACATTAATGAAAAAAATATATCTTTAAACTTATAAGAGAAAATTTTAGAAAGGACTTAATTTTAAATGAGTTCTTGCTAATTGACCAGTTTTACATATTCGGCACGCATATATATATTATATATATATATATATATATATATATTATATATATATATATATATATATATATATATATATATATATATATATATAACAGCGCTACTAGCCAAGGAGTCGAACCCATGCTGCTTTGGCCCACCTCATGGTGAGCGGAAACTGGTGACGCTCCAGTCCACGGAACCACACAACAGTTTTCTTGTCAATCCTTGAAAAAGGTTTAAGTATTTTCTGGAGACAACAACAACAACAACACTATAAATAATGGTTGTTTTGACTCTTAGTTTGCAACAATAATTCTCAAACTACTGTATAAGACACAAAGAAATGTCTCCCTCTTTTGTCTCTGTCTTCAACCATTTTCTCCGTCATGTTCACTATATACGGTGGTCTTTTTAGACCACCTGACACAATTCTTTCTGTGCTGACATAAACACAATAGCTTCATCATTGTCAGCCCCCATAAACGAGTTTTCCGCCACTTAAGTTTCCACCCAAGTTTCTTTCCATACAAAAACGTCTTCTCAATAAGTTTCCATTTAGAGAGTAAAAAAAATTAAAAGAAAAGTTTTCCCTAAACCACAAGTTAGTGGCAAAATATTTTCCATTAAAAATCATCAGCTTTCCCTTTCTATCTTGAAGAGAAATATTCAATAAAATTTTGGTATGGCTGTCTAGCATTATGATAATGTTGGGAGAGATGTAAATAATGAAAGTGAATGTTATAGTAATGCTGTCAGAAGCCCGAGTACATCTATAACTCACTATAAACATGAACGTAAATAAGTACATTTATGGACCAACTTGCAACGTAAACACATTGATGTTGTAGTAGCCAGACTTAAGCTTGGTTAAAAGTACTTGAGGAATATATAGTATATTAACCTATGTGATATGGTAGGCATAATGCCACATGCAAGGCACAGTGCCACAGCCTCCCAATAAGAGATGTAAGGAGTGTTAAGAGAGGTTGAAGAGGACTATAGTACAACAACTTAACATCTAAGGTAACTTAAGTAGGAACGCACCAGTAAGAAGAAGAAAAACAATAAAAAGATTAACTGGGAATGTGTGACCCATAAAGTGAGGTTTCTCATTATGAAACAAAAAATCTTATGCCACAAGTTTAAGCAAAAAACACCATGCGTGGGACCTCTCATGTCGAGAACGGTGACGCAGGTGAAAGCAGAACTTAAGAAAGCGGTACCACTGCAGTACCTTCAACGCTCTCATCCAGGATCTGCTCCACATCCCAACAGCGCAGCAGGGTAGACCAGAAGAGAAGATGCATCAGCCTAGAACCCAGTCAAAACTTCTTCCCGCTGAGTCCTACGAGGAAACCCAGAGTCGTCTACAAGATGCAGCCTGTACACATACACAACCCCAGAAAACAGACAAGGAACAACTCCCTAAAAGTGAATTTCCACCTCTATCTCAGACCACTGGATCCAACATTAAGGCAGCAGCTGCTGCTGCCAAGGTCCACCATAGAACCAGCTACCCCGCCGTTCATACACATTTGCCGTAGCTCCACTATAGCGCTGGCACCACTATGGCATACACATACGTGAA